TGAATTCAGAGTTGTCCTTCTCCTAAACCAGCTCTTATACAATGTATAGAATCCAGTCTTCATACCTTTCCCAAATGTATTAGCACGTAGGTGAATATAGTGGATTCGACTGGAATTCGAACTCAATATATATATATATATATATTGATGCATATTTCATTAAATAATATAGGAAAGTTTTGTCTGTTTTATGTAAATTCTTTTCATATAGTCTGATAAACTTAATAACATTATCATTAAAAGAAGAAACAAAATCACCATATTCATACATTTTTTTAATCCTATCTAAGCTTTCGGCTGACATTACAATATATTAACCAATACACGGACCAAACAATAATGGTAGTATGTTTATGTTTACATGGAAGATTTCCAAGCAATGACAAACTCGTATATACAAGACGCTGGAAGCGAAAATCGCACCGCAGCTTATGACTTCACACATGACCACGCGAGAGTGAAAACGAGAAGTATTAAGTATGTGAAGCCGTTGGTATAAACCAATGGGTTCTGTTATAAATTATACGCATTTAAGAATATTTATGGAGATTTCATAGTTTATTTTGTTTACATTAGGTTTCAACTGTTTTATGTATATAGCTTCAAGAATTTTTAATTTTTGTCTATTGTCTTCATGTTTAAGTATAGTTTTGTTTTCAACGAGGATTTTCCGGAATTGAGTACGTGGCCAGGCATGTTGTTTTAAATGCCTAAAAATGCTAGAGTTATCATTCAAATGTAGTGACAAGCGTCGTGAAAGCGAGTTTGTGGTGTGACACACACACACAATATATATATATATATATATATATATATATATATATATATATATATATATATATATATTGTTTACAATTTGATATATCTACAGGCGAAGAGCGATTAATATCTGAGATAATTTATAAATATAGTCAGTGTGGACGTGGGAATCAAAACTGCATAGTGACTGCCAGTTTCACGATTTCAGGTGATTGGTACATAATAGAACTTCCATTATTTGATCACCAATTATCTTAATTATTAGCATCAAGTTCTTATGACTATTTCATTTTATGGCTTTCTACCGAGTAGAGATGGTTTACAAGTGAAGAGATTACCGTTTTATTTTTGTTCCTATATCTTTGAAGAGAAAAGGTCGATTAGCTTGACGACAGTCGACCCTTTGAAACAGAGATGAAATAATTTTAATATCTAATTAGAAATAAAAATAATTACTTGAGGTAGACTATAAAACCATGACAAAATCTGTAGTAAAAATCTTCATTCATACTACGAGTGTATCTTCATTGCCGATCTGTTCCAAGTGATCAAAGGTTATTGATGTCCTGATGTTAAAAGACAACGGATATCATTCTAAATTGGAGAGACAGGCTAGATTTTGCAACTTCAAGAAGTTCATGTTGAAAAGCCCCAGTTATACAACAACAATGAAGACTCATATATTCATCCACCAAGCTGACACTGAATAGTTTTAGACTAAGAATTTGGGGAGATGATTGACTGATATAAATCTTACTATTTAACCCATAGCTGGTGGAGAAGAGTTGGGTCCATACCTTTCCAGAGGTTATTTGTGCGTTAGTGAATATGACGAACCCAACCGGAATTCGAACTCGGCTCTCCGTTTTCCAATTCCGAGTCGTTTTCCATTACATCATCTGCGCACCTGAGATTCCTAAGCGATCACTTTCTTAGGTAATGACCAGAATCGACGTTGCTTAACAATATTGTGGAAAAATCGAGACAAAAACTGAAATCCATCATCTGTGATGAAAGTTACCAGGTTGTACAATGCTGATAAAAGAGAATTATTTTAGTCTACATCGTTGAAAAATAAAGAATTCTTGCATTCACCCAAGTAGAAGAATGTCTGTATACAGCAACGAGTTTGACTTTGAGAAATTTTGAAGGAATCAAATTTCAACATTTTCAGCAAGAATAAATTTCAACAGGTAAATGAATTTTTTCATATATATATTTTTAAATAAAGACTAACGATAAAAGAACAGAAAAAAAAAACTATTTTTTCGTATACAGATAGCTGGAAAGGTGTGAAAAAACATTTATAGTTTAATTGTTAGAATGTGCGCCTGTGCGTGTGAGTTAAAATCTTGTAGTTAGCCGCTCGGGGAAAAGACCCCCTCTCTGATATAAGGCTTAATCTCCGTTCTTTTATAGTCCTGAAATAGCGCCACGTAGATGTCATCTTGACAGAACAGGCGAGGATTATTTGCACATAAGTAAAACATTGAGACGTACTATGCAGAAAAATCTTATTTTTATCCTTGCGTCATCGCGACAAACATTTTTTTTATCGTTAAACTGATACATGAAACATTCGGCCTTCATCAATCGGACAGTCAGCATCACTGTCGGTGAAAAATTAGAAAACATTTTCGTAAAACATTTTCGCAAAACATTTTCGTAAAACATTTTCGCAAAACATTTTTGCAAAAGATTTTCGCAAAAGATTTTCGCAAAATATTTTCGTAAAACATTTTTCAAAACATTTTAGAAAAATATTTTCGTAAAACATTTTGGCAAAACATTTTGGCAAAACATTTTAGCAAGACATTTTCGTTAAACATTATGGCAAAAAATTTTCGTAAAACATTATCATAAAAGAATTTTCACAAAATATTTTCGCAAAACATTTTCGTACAACATTTTTAAAACATTTTCGCAAAACATTTTTGTAAAACATTTTATCAAGAAATTAAATTTTTCAAGTCCATTGTTATAACGCTTTCTCATATTTTCTTCCCAACTTTTTGTTTTTGGTCGTGTGGAAAGTTAATATCTACATTATATCATTTTTATTTCTGCTATGAATTTTTTTTGTTTCTGTCCAGCGAATGTTGGCTAATCTGCATTGCTGTGACAAGAATTCGATTCTAGTGAAATACAAATTACAAAAGCAGGCATGGATGGCTTTTAGTAAAGATACATATTTCGTTGGACATATGCAATTACCCTATTAATGGGTGACAAAGTAGAGTCACATGGCATGGAAGATAGTCGAGAAGAATCATAAAATGAAGCTATCAACTTTGTTTTGTTTTTTTTCTCACTGAAAATCATTTCAACTGTTCAATGAGAGAATCATTAAAGGAAGAGAGGAATGCTATCGTCACATGATGGCGTGTGATGTCATCAGTAAAGACTTTGCTGACAAATAATTTTTATAAATTATCCTTCATAGTGAAGGAAGCTTTTTCGTGATTAGATTGAATCAATTGCTAGGTCAGCTACTAGGAAAATTGGTTCATTCTATTTTAGTAGACAATTTATCTCGAGTCCTGGGTAAGACGATAAACTACGTCCAGCAGCAAGGCCTCTGATCAGGAGGCTTTGAGGAGCGTGGAACCACCTCTTAATTGTTGGTCTTCCCAGGTCCACCCTGACCCAGAGTGGTAGCACCTGTTAGGGTCCTAGCTATGGGCAAATAGTTGACCCCCCAAACTGGAGTCAAAACATTATCAAAGTGTAAAAATAGGTTTTAATACCAGAAAAAAGTATAAAAATAGGTTTTAATACCAGAAATTGTGAAAAAATTATTATCAGCAATACATTTTTCAAAAAAAAAATTACCAACAATACATTTTTGAAAAAAATATTACCAGCAATACATTTTTGAAAAAAGATATTACCAGTAATACAGTTTTGAAGGAAAAAATATTACCAGTAATAGATTTTTGATAAAACAAAATATTACCAGCAATAAAAAGTGTACATAATACCTCATCTCAGAAATATAGACAGATACTGAAAGGCCGAAACGTTGTAATAAAACTGGCAAGAAAGATGAGGACAATAGTCCGAATAATGTAAATAGTGTACATAATACCTCAACTCAGATATATCGACAGATACTGAAGGCCCGAAACGTTGTAATAAAATTGGCAATAAAGTTGAGGACAATAGTCCGAATAATGTAAATAGTGTACATAATACCTCATCTCAGAAATATAGACAGATGCTTTTCTGTTAAATCCCCCAAAACAATAATTCACCCCAAAATAAGAAAAAAAGAATTTATATTTACTAATATTCGCACCAAATTATCCCAGAGCGATTTTGCCAAGACGAAAGATAATGATATAAAATACTAGTTTATCGCAAAATTAACACAAAATAAACTGCTTTTAATAAATCTGACGAATTGAAGTTTTGTCTTTTGTTTTTATATTGTTCAAATTTTGTTCGTCTTTTGTTAAAAAGGGTTTGAAGGTCTTCATCTCTAGATTGAATATAGTGTTCAGTTCGAAATTCTCTTGTTATATTGTTAAATTTCTGTAGATCGTTAAATAAAAGCTGATAGCTGAAAATAGAGGTGTCAAATTCTAATTTGCGTCTCTTGGGTTATTAATACTTGGGCATATGTTGCTGTAGAAAAAAGAACAAGGTAAACGAAACTGCATCTCATCATTTCTTTTATATTTGATAGCATTGTCAGAGGGTTTACTTCGTTCTATTCTGAAAAGCGGGTAGAGCAAGAAAATCTTTGGTGTGGCCCTTAAAAATATTAAAACAAAAATCTGATAATGGTGAAAAAATGATTCGAAAGGGTGAATAATTTTATATGATCCGTAGGAAAAAATAACTTTTTCTACTTCCAAAAGTTCACATGAAAAGTCAAATATGCAATCAGAGGTTAATGAAATCTAGAGAGACGTAGTGTCGTCAATTGTTCATAAAGGCGCTATTCAAAGTTCAGTGGTTCCCATAGTCGGTGTTAGCTGAATGAAGAAGAGAAAGAAAAGACTTGATTTCGGAGATGTTTTTTCCAAAATGGCGACCATCCAGTTGGATTATGTGATGCATTTTTTTTTCTTTAGCGTTCAGGAAATATCAAAATAGATATTTAATCAATTTTTAGCATCAATCTGCTTATAAATCCAGGCGTTTTCTCAAGGAACACGAGGGAAATATGACGGGGCAAAGCTATCACTTTTATTGCTGTCACCGGGATTTGCACTTTAATAATTTTGAAAGATGCTTTATAATAAGAAAGTGAGCCCTATTCCTGTCGAATACACAGAAAGATAAATAGATATGGACAGGTTGAGATAGATAGATAGATAGATAGATAGATAGATAGGAACAGACTTGAACAGAAAGATGAGTAAGAACAAACTTAGATAGGTACGAACAAAGTTAGATAGATTAAAAACAAACAGAATAAGAATAAATAAATAGCTAGAAAGCTAGATACGAACCGACTGAGATAGATACATAGATAGATGAACAGAGATAGATTAAAAACAGACATAAATATGAGAAGGTTGAGATAGATAGATATGAAAAGACTGAGATAGATAGACAAATAGGTAGATAGATGAACGTAGATAAATAGATGAACAGAGAGAGATAGATTAAAAACAGACATAGAATAAGAACAGATAGATTAAAAACATAGATTAACAATAGATAGATATATGAACAGAGATAGATAAATAGATAGATTAAAAACAAACATAGAATACGAATAGATAGATAGACAGACAGACAGACAGATAGATAGATAGATAGATAGATCTGAAAAGACTGAGATAGATAGACAAATAGTTAGATAGATGAACATAAATGAACAGTGATGGATTAAAAACAGACATAGATTAACAGTAGATAGATAGATGAACAGAGATAGATAGATAGATAGATAGATAGATAGATAGATAGATATGAACAGATTGAGATAGATAGAGAGATGGATAGATAAATATGAACAGATTGAGATAGATAGATAGATAGATAGATAGATAGATAGATAGATAGATATGAACAGACTGATAGATAGATAGATAGATAGATAGATAGAACAGATAGATATGAACAGATTGAGATAGATAGATAGATAGATAGATAGATAGATAGATAGATAGATATGAACAGACTGAGATAGATAGATAGATAGATAGATAGATAGATAGATAGATAGATAGATATGATCAGAATGGGGTAGATAGATAGATAGATAGATAGATATGAACAGATTGAGATAGATAGATAGATAGATAGATAGATAGATAGATAGATATGAACAGACTGAGATAGATAGATAGATAGATAGATAGATAGATAGATAGATAGATAGATAGATAGATATGATCAGAATGGGGTAGATAGATAGATAGATAGATAGATAGATAGATAGATAGATAAGAACAGACTGAGATAGATAGATAGATAGATAGATAGATAGATAGATAGATAGATAGATAACCAGCCAGCCAGACCGACAGATACTGACGTGTTTCATCCAATCGTAATATCGAATGTGGAATGATTTCTTTCAAAGCAAAAGGCACTCTCCATTTCGAAGATTGATACAATACAATTTTTTCTCGCTCAATTTGAACTTGTATTTGAATTAACTAAATTATCTATGTAACACGTTTTGGTTGATATTGTTGTCCTGTAATCACTTCTAAGATCACAATGTCTTCTCGCAACATATGGTGCACTGAAAACATTTTCCCACCTAAAAACAAAGTCTACATATTTTCACAAGGTGATAATATTTACAGTTACCGATGATACTGAGGAAAACAACGCATAACGTGGCTAGCGAGTTTGAGAAAATGGATGGTAAAAGGACAGGGTTTAGGAGAGCCATAATCTCCAACGTTCTGAAAGAACACAGCACGTAAAGTACAAAGAATGAACTTAAGTAAATGAATGAAGGAACAAGGTTTATTAGAGATAAAAAAGTTGAAATATATTAAGAGCTACAAAGGACAGGAAATTGTGGAGAGCCATGATCGCCATCATCCTGAAGGCACACGACACATAGGAAAAGAAGAATGAGATTAAGTAAATGGATGGCGGAACATGGTTTACGAGAGAGATAAAAAAGACAAAATTTATTAAAGGGTAAAATGGACAGGAAAGTGGGGAGAGCCATGATCTCCAACGTCGAGGAGCGATACGACACATAGAAGAAAAAGTACTATAATATTTGAAAGTTCATTCCTATCAGTGGAGATCTGATATATCCATTTTTAGATGGGTGTCCGGTCTCTGATTACTTGAACGCGTATTCTTTGAATAGACACTATTTTTCCCGAAGATATTGGAACAATATTTGTTGAAATCGCTATGTAAATTGTAAAGTTCAAGCAAATAGTGATTCCATTTTACATTAATTTAGATTAAAGTTTACCAATGTCGGCAAATTTAAATAAGAAATTTACATTTGCTTGTAGCATAAATGGCAACTATATTTGATTAGTGATTATCGACTGGCGACACATAATCGAGTTATTAAATGGAGTTTGACAATGAACAAAGACAGAAAGAGTCCGAACCGCACCGTCTACCATTCTTTGATTTAACAAAATCAAGGGTGTATTTACCGGTTTGTCAAAAGAAACGTTTCCTACTTGATTACTAAAACATTACCGGGTTCAAATCCGGGGTCAGCTGTTTGAAATTATATTAATACGAATATTTCCAAACTTGCTTATTCGCTCTACCAAGATTAATCTACTTATATATATATATATATATATATATATATATATATATATATATATATATATATATATTATTCGCAGACAGTAATGTTTCGCTGTATCACAGCCCTTCAGTTCGACTAGACATCTGCATGCCAAGATTGAAACTCAACCGATTTGGTATCAGTCAGAGTTCCTACCACTGAGCTATCTTCACTCGGCAGAATGAGACAGCCAAATCTAGCCGGAGTGCTTCATTCATTTTACTGAAGAGCTTTGCATTATCGCAGGTCGTTGTTGTTTTTAGAATTGGCTTGACATTCAACAGTGCTCAATTGAAAATATATTTTCAAGAGTTAACAGTGGCTTAAGAAAATATTTTAATCAGGAGAAAGAAACTACGCCCGATTTCAAAATTTAATTACATATTTCGAACATAAATAAAGAGTATTTGGAACTAGTATGGAGTAGGTCTTCCATTAGCTGGTTTCAGTTCTTGTATTCGACTTTTCATGGATTTGATCAAAAGTTGATTCATAGTTTGCTTCTCCTTTAGCAATGTTTCCTTAAGGGTTGCCACTGACGTGATTTCGGTTGCACGCTCTAAAAGTTTTCACTCAAGGTGCTTCCAATCGTGCTCTATTGGTTTCATGTCATGACTTTGTGCTACACCTGGTTGTGACTTACGATTCCTTTCAGGCCTTTGCTACTTTGCCCGTATTTCATGGCGCCCCACCTACTTGAAAAAGACATTCTTGTCAATCTGATTGGTTTAAAATAGTGGGAGTTGTCCTTTCTCTAATACTTGACAGTATTTTGGAACATTCAACCGGTCGTCAACAAGAATCAGCTCAGATTTCCCTCCAAACCAGAAAGCGCTCGACACCATTATTCCAATCTCTCCATGTTTCACGGTCGACTGCAGACATTCAGTGTTCCAAGTCACATTCTGATTTCTCCAAACATAAACCTGTCTCGAATTCAAGTATTGACAGAATTTATTTTCATCTGATCGAATTAATGCCAAAATTCATAATCTTTGCTGTATAATTCTCTCGCCCAATCCATACTCCTGTTTCTGTTATGCTCTGAAATGAAGGGCTTCTTTCTTGCAACTCTTCTTTGATAGCCTAGCTCTTTCAGAGCCTTTCTCACCACTTATGGCGATATTTACATGCTGTTGGCGTCATCTTTGATATTCTGACGACGGTTTATGATGACTTCCTTCTTCAGCGCCCTTTTCGTTCGCTCAGACACGATGCTTGGTCTTCCTGAACATTGTTCCACACAACAAGGCCTTCTTCATTAAATTTCTTGACAATATTATTAACCGTTTGATGATGAACCTGGAAAAACCTAGCAATTTCTCTATTTGACTTGCCACACTGATGCCATTCTATAATTTTGCCCTCGTTGATATTCAACAATTTCCTTACTTCCGCAAAATATAAGTCAACTATCGTTCATAGATGAGAGTTGCTTGATACTAACACAGTATTGTCTGAAAAAAAAGAAGAGGCGGTGTTTTACAAGCCATGATTGCTGCAATCAAGTGTGGCTTAAAACTTATCATAGCTCACTGTATATTATAACCGCATTCGAATCCACAAGTAATCCTACTGAATAATCTCTATCTCTAGAAGAATTAGGCATTAACGGTTATTTTTTTAATTACATTAATAAACCGTAAGGATAATACAGTAGACCTTACTACCCATATTGCACCATTGACCAGTATATATAAATGGTGGTGTCAAAACACATGGTCTGAAGATTGCGCCCAAGTATGAAACAGACTCTCGCCGCTTGATGCTGACCTCAGTGCCTACTCACTCTCTCTCTCCCTTCTCTCTCTATATATATATTGTGTATTTAGGCAGCAATTCTTCATTTATAGATGTTTCATTAAAGACGACAGACAAAGTACTGCAATTAAGCTTTTTTTAAAAAATTTTCTTCTTTTCTGGGCACAGAGTGTGTAGAAGCTATTTAAATATTTTGTAATTCAGAGCGAATTCGGCTCATTATTAAATATGGTTTTATTTTTGTTTTTTTAATTGGGTTTATCGGTTGTGTGTATGTATCTAGAGTTATAGGGATTTTTTATTTTCCGAACACAAAAAAACTCAAAAAAAAGCTTAATCGTAGTACCTTGTCTGTCATCTTTAATGAAACATATATATATATATATATATATATATATATATATATATATATATATATAGGGGGATCAGTCGTCCTTTCAACCCTTTTGCTGAAACTTGAACTCTATACCGCAAGTACATAAATCAATTTGATGCCTTTCACATGCGCTGTCTTCGTGCCATATGTGATATAAAATGGGATGACAGGTTCAAGAATAGTGCAATACTGAAGACATGTAACAACAGTTCTAACAAATATACAACTTAGGTGGGCTGGTCATTTTCGTGAGAATGGATGAGCATAGGTTTCAACAAAAGGGGCTGTATAGACAACTTTCAAACTCCAAGCGTTCAGTTCGACTTCCATTCTTACACTACAAAGACAAATTGAAACGTCTCAATTTTGAACTGAATACCTGTGAAGCCAAAGCATCAAACCGGAATGAGTGGCGTAATACATGTCTCATTAATTTAAAGCGTTTTGAAGACATTAGACTGGAGCACCATGATCAGCTTCGTCAAACTCTGAAGCAGAGACGCCATCAAAATCCTGCTTTAACAAATTTCATCTGTCAGTGTGGCTTTGTCGCCCACAGCAAGGCTGGGCTAGTATCACACTTAAGAAACCACAAATGAAATATGTTTTTCTCTTACCTGATTTTCTCCACAATAGCCCCTGCTAGCATGCATAAGTGTAAAATGAAAGCACTTTCCACTGCTGACGGTCATTTATCATTCACGATAGGAGAGCCCACCATCATATATATATATATGTATACCAGGTGTAATACCAAAACTGTCCAAATCGTGTAACACCAAGATTGTCTATTTGCTTGATTAAAATTATTAAAGATTTCTTACTGGAATTCTTCGAGATTTTTTATAACACTATTGGTCTCTACATTGAGCAATAAGAATGTATAATTACTCTTCAAGCTTAACTGAAGAATTGTGATGTAATTGACCATAAACGAAAATTACATGTTTATCGTTAAATAATCAAGTTAAGGATCATAAGCTCATGAAGGATTGAAAAGTTCATATATATATATATATATATATATATATATATATATATATATATATATATATATATATATATATATATATATATATATATATATATATATATATATATATATATATATATATATATATATATATATATATATTAAAGACATTTTATGTTTAACGTTCTTTTTTTTTTTTTATAGATACAAGTATTTAAGTAAATGCTCTGTTTATAATAAACAGTATTCGACCTTGCCAACCGAACGATCCTTTGTGGCCGAGAGGTTAGGCACGTCAGCGTAAATGACGGTTCCGTATAGGATGCAGGTTCGAATCCTGTCAAAGGACGAATATTTTCTATGAAAATTTCTCGGATATTCAGGCCGGTAAATGTTATTTAATACTGTTTATTATAAACAGAGCATTTACTTAAATACTTGTATATGTATAAAAAAAGAACATTAAACATAAAAAATGTCTTTAATAAATAAATTGTCGGACTTTGTCCATTTCTTTATATACATATATATATTATTACAGGATCATTTTCCAACTTATTCAAGATGATCTTCGCCGTCTTTAACCTTCTAACTTTCTCTCCTGGAGTAACAAGGTGCCTATTATGTTTCGCGTATGTCGGGCTGTCAGTT